TCTGTAATGCTTTCATTTAAACCATAGTACCAGGCCTCTTGTATTTCTTTTATAGGGCTGTATTCTTTGGTCCATTCGTTATCTATTAATTCTTCTTGAAAGTTTCTTGCTCTAAATTGATTTTGGAAATGTCTACTTGTACTCTCCAATACTTCTTCTGGATTGGTAATTAGCCTTCTTGTAAGGTCATTTTCTTTAAGTAGTCTGTCTATATTGATTTTTCTAATTGGCTTATCGAGTAAGCTTGTTAACATCTTTCCTTGTGTAATATAAATATATTTTTATTAAGATTTTTATATATATTTTTTTTGAGACTTTGGTTAATTGTGTTATAAACCTATATTTATTAAAGTTTTGTTGCTGCTGAAGACAATAAGCAATAAAATCAGTAGCTTAATATTATATAGCTGCTTCAAATATAACTAAGTTATCTAAGTGCTCATATATAATTAGTTGCATTAATAAGGTAGCATAATAGCTAGCTTAGTAACTAGAATGACTTTTATAGTCTACTATCTGCCAAGAGTTTTATTTAAAAGAAAAAGAAAACTAAACAAAAAATAAAAAAATATAGAGTTATAGGGAAAAATAATAAAAAAATATATATATTAGAAAAAAGAGAGTAAAGAAGAACAAAAAAAGAAAAAACAGAAGTTACTCTGCATCAAATGATTACAATTATAAGCCTATATCAGACTATATATTTTTTTAAATTTTATTATATATTTTATATTATTATTATACAGTCAAATCTTTCTATAGTCACACCTTCAGAATACAAAAATTAGTGACTATATAGGAGTGTGACTAATATAGAAGTATTCTCTAGATAGTTACAATTATATTAAAAATATAATTAGTGATTATATAGAGATATTATTTATTATATTATAAACTAGCATTTAACTATATATATAGATAAACCAATTTTATAAAATTTATATAAATATTGTGGTTTGTTTAAACTAATGATTTAATTAATTGCTAAAAAATTTATTTGTTTTAATAGTTAACTATAAAATATATAACAATCACAGTACAAGATCAGTTCAAATCAATTTATCAACAGTTTCTTCATTTAGCCAACATTATATAGGGTTAGAGGTTAAAAATTTGATAAATTACAGATATATATTTTTACTAAATTTCAACTGAAGTGATGTCGGCTAAATGAACTATTAATGAAGTGATCGTTAGATAATACAGACTTGTACAAGACATATTCGAGCTACATTAATTTAGTTCCATTCTAACAACTTAATATTGCAAGAATAAATTCTTTATACTATAGTTGATACATATATACATATTATACATCAATAAATATAGTATAAAGTTGCTATTTTTAAATTTAATTATACTACATATAATAGTTAAATTAGTGGTAACTCATAATTAATGCATAGTATAACCCAACACTGCTTAATTGAATATTATGAGGTTTAGTAATCTTGTAAGATCAAGTCAACAATAATGTGAATTTAATAATAAAGACAAAATTTCCTTTTTATCAAAATGCTTTACATTTATATTTTATTGTAATATTACATTATATTATCAGATTAGCCTTACTTCAATATGCATGCTGTTTATATAGTGGACTTTAACAATTACAATACAAATTTAGCTAGATGATCAAATAAAAAAGTTATTAATTATCTAAGAACATATAGTATCGTATATATGTAGAAGCAAATTTTTTTTTATTCAGCAAAGATCATGCTTTCATGTTGCTAATTTCTTTTCTATTATTTAAAGTTAAGCGAACACTCATCAATGTAGGATCTTTGATTAATTTTGTAAAATAACCTTAATTTAATCTTAATCTGATGTAATATCTACATATATTTAAACAATCAGTTATATATGATCAATTGTGAAAAAAAAGTTTATGATCAAAATAATCAGTTATATATGATCAATTGTGAAAAAAATTTTATAATCTAACCAAACATATAAATAAGTGACCTGGTTTGGATAGATTTAATTTTGAACAATGTAAATTAACTTGATCTCTGATTTTTTCATCTTTGATTTGCCCTTGTAGTATAATTCATTTAATAATGCAAGGCAATTGTACTGCTAGAGTTTTTTTCTGAAACATATAAAACAGTTGTATATATTCTATGAAATTTTAAGACAATGTAGAATGGATCTGAAATATCTTTAGATAGACTACCATTTTAATTATTGTCTTGTAATATTGCATGGTTTAAAAGAGAGAAAAAAAAAAGCAAAAAAAATAATAATAATAATAATAAAACTTCAATGATAAGAAAAGTGAATTAAATAATATGTATTTGTTAATGTAGCATATAAAGTATTTTTTATTGTATAGTGCTGACCATAGTATCCCCCTGTACAAAGTATCCTCTATTAAAAATTTTTATAGTAGAATATAAAATACCAGGGTATTTTACAGCAAGTATTAGGATTTTTGAGCTTGTAGTTTGTAAAATAACTGGGTATAGAAGACCCAAGTTTCTATTGATCATGCGTAAATTATATTTCTGGTTAGATAAAATTAATAATTTTTAATAACATACAACAAATCAGAGAACAAAATCAGGTGTAATATAAAAATTAAAAAAACAATCATTATTTATCTTAAAATTTTATTATTTTAATAAATTCCAGGTATAGCCTATATCAAATATATTAATTTAATTTTTTATATAAGTGAAAGTCAAAAAAATAATTATGTTTAGCTTAATATTTAACTAGAGTTTGAGTTTCAGATTTGTGAGTTAATACTGAATTTAGATTGATATCTAGTTAGAGAATACTTTTGTACAAGTTAATAACAGTTATGAAATTGAATTGCCCAAAATTTTTTATAATTATTTAACCATTTAACTATTTAATTTAGCTAGTATGAAAATAATCCTGGATCACAACTAACATAATTAGTCTAAATTTATAAGCTAACTTTTTAAGTGGTTAAATAGTTTTATTTTTTAGATATTAGAGTATCTAGAAATATGAAATTTCAGAAATTTTTTAGTGAAATTTTTCCAAAATGTATATTTCTAGATGCTTCAAATGATAGCAATCAATAAATCTATAAAATTATTTGCCAAACTGATATTTTTTTATTTATTTAAACATTAATATGATTATTCTAAATCGTCAAACCCATCTTCACCAAAGCTATTAGCTTCTGAGTCATTTTCAGCTATGGTTCTCATATTTTCCTCAAAACGATTAACATATCCTTCTTTTATTTCAATAGTTTCAGATTCGTTATGTTGATTAGCTTTTAAGATTTCTTCTACTTCATTATAATCAAATAAGAGATGATCCTCAAATCTATCAATTTTAAGAGAAATACCACAGCATTTAAATGATAGTTTAATTAGTTTAGGATCTATATTGTCACACACTTTTTTGACCTATGTTGTAATTAATACATAAGAAGGTCGTTTGAATTTTCTAGTTTTAGTAAGCTCATATACCTCGTTGGCCATCTATTTGGTATAAAGAGCTCAATACTGGAATAAAAAAATGATTATAAGATATTACAGTATTCTTAATAATGATATTACTATTAAATTTTTTTTATTTTTTATTTTATTTTTTTATTTTTTATTTTATTTTATTTTTTATTTTTTTTATTTTTTTTTATTTTTTATTTTAATTTTTTTATTTTTATTTTTATTTATTTTTATTTGATTTTTTTTATTATCTTTGCTTTAAAGCTTTGATTGATAGATATATCAAGGGGTTGTAATTTTAAGATTAAACCAGCTAGAATTATAGTGATATCTGTGTGCTTTTCTATTAGCTGACGTTTTACTGCATCAACAGTATAAATCATATATTAACAAAGACTAGTAGTTTGCTATTAGATTACGTTGTTTCTATATATTCACTATCTACCAAATCATCTCTTCTTGATTACACTATCCTTTTTCATTATTATATATATAAATTCCAGTTAAAAATACTTTTTTTTTTGGCCAAGTTTTTAGTTTAAAAATCACAGTAGCTAGAAGTTTGTTTTTTTGTAGTCAAGGTTAGCCTCTTTGGCTTCCTGCTTTTATTAGATATTAGGATTATGTGGTGCTCTTTTTAAGGGGGTACCAGACAAGTACATTCTGACAAGGATACATTCTAGCCATACCTGTGCCTTTTGAGTGTCTAATTAAGTATCTACCTATTATTAGATTCTACACTAGATGCCATACCTATAACTTACTATTATTTGAGTTACCCAATTAAACTCTCTGATCTGAGTTTTCTATGCCAATCCATCTAATCTCACCTGGAACATGCGATACATAAGCAGTCCAAGTTCTAGAATCGTTGCATGCCACCTATAGGACTACCGGCATGGTTAACTGATTTATCCTCAAGAGCATCACCTGCTAGAGCAGTCCAGTACCCACTATTACTGTATTACTTAGTCTACTTCGGTAACTTACACCTAGGCCGAGACCAAGTACTTGCAAGCCGAAGCCACTACCATTACCTACTATGCCCTTATAGAGTTTACCCAGACCTCAGCACCCACTATACAGACTATCCGCCGTATACCCATTGTCCCAAACTTCCAATCCAGATGGCCTGGAAGGGCTGTGACCTTCTCTTGGTCCCCTCGGTTGGGTCCTTTTCCTCTGGTTACTCCCTGGCGGCCTGGTTGGTGAAGAGTCTTGCCAAACACTTCGGTCCCATTCGGTCCTCCGGTTTCCTAGTTGATAATCCTTTACATAGTACTGTCAAAGATCTGTGCTACCTCTCTACTCAGGTCTTGCCAAGCGGGCTTCCATGTGTGCCGATCTTGGATTTACACGACTGCTTCACTCGGGTTTCATATAACTCGTACATTACACTATTGTTCCATAATTTTCCAGTATGAGCTGGTGTGATCTAGTTACAGATATTGATCTGCCCTTACATTCACAGTTGCCGTAACACTGTACTGAGAATTCGAATTTTTTCGTCGTCGGTAGGATTCGAACTCTGGTCTTGCTACTTGGAGGTGCAACAACTTCACCATTTTACTAAGTCGCCACACCCTGGCTGGAAGTTTTGTACCGTCAGCTATATAAGATAAAATAACTGAAAATTACTTTTCTCATAACCCATTGTACAAAGATTCACAGTTTTTGACCCGATTTTTTCAAAGTAGTATTATAGAGGAGATCAAAGAAAAGTGAAGTTTCGTTTATGTTTCCTATATATTTCAAAAGATATTTATATTGTTTATGATGAAATAAAACAAAGCTTAAAAAATTTTGTATTTGTTCAATCATATCTTTAGATAAACATTGGACAATATGTATGTGTCAACGATTTAAAAAGCTGTGCTTAGTAAGGAACCCATCTAACCACTTATTAGAAAACTTAAATGATGTGATTGTTGGATATTAAATTTGATAAGCTTGTCTTGTTGCTAATTTTTTAGCTTTTTCAATAGTCATACTGCGCATAACTGCATTTTCTTTTGTATGAATATTCATAATTTATTGTTTTAGCTCAGTTTCAAGATCTGGTATACTAGATAACTTCCTATTATGTAACTTTTAAATTCACGGTACTGCTGCTATTAGCATATTTTTTTTTTCTCCAGTTGTGGATCTGTTTAGGTTGAATTTCAAATTGCTTGGCTGTAGCTCTAATACTTTTAACTTGATCCAAATAGTGTAAGATCATTAGCTTCTCTCTTGCGAACCATTGATGTTTTGCTTTTTTGTTGCTACACATGCATGACTTTTTTTTGCCTTTTCTACAGTTAATAATCATAATACTTAAAAGTTTATAAAATAAAGATATTATGCTTATATATATATATATGAATAAATGTTTATCTAGCAGAGCATGAAGCACTTAAATCTAGCATTACATATTGATATAAAATCCGATTGGCTAAAAATGTGCAATTTATATATATGGTAATAAAGCGAGATATAACAGCATCGCATTCCTCAATTAAAATTAAAATCTAATATAAATAAAAATTTCTGTAAAACAAACAATTACAAATCGCACACAAAATTTCGTCCAAAATATTTTTTACTTCTTCTCAATTTATACAAAATTTTATTAAGTTAACAACCTTTAGTTACTTAATAACAATTGTTCAGCTACCGTTTCTACATATATCTGTGAAGTTTCAAGTCTTTATCTCTTATCGTTCTCGAGATATTCAATTT